GAATCTTAAACACATTCGACGCAACAATAATTCATGAATTTGTTTTTATGCTTTTATACTGCTAATTGTTTGGTAATTTTTATCAAATGAACTAAAATGATTATAATCCCAACTATATTCTAAAGTTAAAACCTAAGTGTAAAATTGTTAAATAGGTAGTATCATTTGAACTTTCAAGATGGTGCTACCTAACACTACTTTCATGTATATAAATATATTTCTTATTTTTCTTTTTGTAGTCAAATGATGTATTTCTTCATTTAATAATGTTTTTCTAAAGCAAAAGCTAGCCAAACATCCACTAGCTTTTGAAAGTTCATCTTTTAGAGCGATGTCTAACACAGAATTTGTCAAAACTTTTCAAGTGAGTCCTTTTATGTGAAACAAAAAGATGAGTTTTACGACAAATAACATGGGTGTTTTTTATTCTATCGAACAACCTCACATGGTAGCGATCTAACGAAAGATTTTGAAGTTTAGGTTACATGAAGCGTGAGCGTGAATATGTGCAACATCATGATGAAAAATTAAAAGTGTTGCACCCACTTTAATAAGTTTAGATCAATTAAATCTTGTGTAAAAAAAATAAATGGACCTACTTTTCACTTAAAGAAGAGTAAAAATATGTTAAAAAGCTGTTGGAAAAACTGGGCTTTTTAACTTTTCTGGACACGGGAGAAGAACTCGTGTGATTTTTGTGTTTGTTAAAATTATATTGTGTTATAATTTTTGCTAAGTTTTTATTGGGTTTTATTTTGATTACTTGCTCAAATTGACCCCAACCATTTTGACTTTTTGAATTCATGACATGTCCAACAACTACCCAGTGCACGTTCCTATTTCGTAATTTAGACGATCTATGATTAGTAATTGAGCCGATTTTTTTTGATAACTCTCAAAATTATACTATTCATAATTATTTGAAATTGCTATAATTTTTTAAAATTGATGCGACTTAACCCGAAATTGATTACTATTAACTTAATTGCTTATATTAAAAAAGACATTTTTGATAACATTATTAATAACATTATCAAACAATTCTTTTAAAATATGAAAAGTTATCGGGATTTACTATATATGGTTGTAATTAACTTTATTTTTTTACAAAGAGTTATAATTTGGTGTTAACTTTATTTTTATGTGTTATTTTGTTACATGTCAGTAACGACAGTGATTATAGGGTTATTAGGTAAAACTCGTGATAAACTATAAAGGTATGCAGTGACATTTCAAAAATTATAAGGGGTGTCCCTATAATTAGGCCAGTCTCTAGGGGGTATCAATGCAATTGATCCAAAATTTAATAATTACTTAATTTTAAAATAATGCTATTTGAACTTAAAAATTAGACTTGATAATTATAATCATTAAATAGGTAATGAGTTTTAATAAATGCTGGGACTCATAGTGAAATCAATGGTTGTAATTATCAAATTTAATTTTAAAATTCACTTTTAAGTCTACTTTTTAAGTCCATGTAGTATTGCTCGTATACTTAACTAAGGGCCGATTCACCTTATGCCCAAGGACACATGTCCACACTCACAAATTTTTTTTTTTGTAAATTTACTTATATATATTTTAAGTATTTTTTTTTATTTTTTGAATTGCATCTATCCTACTTTTAAGTCAAGACAAAAAAAGGAATGATATATCCATTAATTTATTTATAATTTTAATATTTATTTTAATAATTATCAGAGACATGATAGAAAATATATTTGATTGCATAATTGAATGAATAATAAAAAGTTAAGTGGTAACATGATTGTGGATATAAAAAATAATAAAATTAATGCAACACTTTTTAATTAGGATTTTATTTCGTAAAAAGATATAATTATTTTTCTCTTTTTTTTGTTCATCATTTGTATCTAATATGCTTACAAATTTTAGTATTTTGAGTTTAATGAACTTTTAAGTATTAAATAAGATGTAATTAAATAAAATGTATTAAAAAATAAAACTTGTTAAAATATTTAGTTTCCACCCATAAACGATTTTCTGGATTCTCTCTTGCACTTAATATGGGAAATGCTATTTGAATCTAATTTGATGACCTAATTTAGAGATCTAATGATGTACAATTACTGAATTAGTTATGAGTTTCATCTAATTTTCTTAAAAATATCGACATATTTTTTGCAAAAATATGTAATTCAATAAATTTTTCTTAATATGTGTATACTATTGTGTATTGATAATGTCTAAAATAAAAAATATGTTAAATTATAAATTAATCAAATATTAAACGATTGAACATGTAATAGAAATGAGTGACATAATATTTTTTTTGGGAGAAAATATATAGGGGATAAAAATTCAAGTTGTTAAGTGTTTTATCATATTATTATATACTAGTTATAACCAATGCATGAAGGTACGGTGAAACATAAAATTCAAACGCTCAAAAAATTGATCTTACTATATTGAATAATTTTTTATTTTCTTTCATTTCTTTTATTACTTCGTTTAAATTTTTTTTACCTATTATTTTCTTTAAAATATCGACAAACTTTTATCAAAGCACGTAATTCGATAAATTTTTCTCAATATGTGTATATTATCGTATATCAATAATGTTTAAAATAAAAATTATATTAAATTATAAATTAATTAAATATTAAATGATTGAACATATAATAAAAATGAGTAATGTGATATTTCTAAGAGACAAATATGTAAGAGATAAAAATTTAAGTTATTAGGTGTTTTATTTTATTATATATATATATATATATGTGTGTGTGTATTTTTTTTTTTTTATCAATGGACCCCTGTTCTCCTCCTGCCTCCGCCACTGCTTTTAAGGCACATGTACATGTACTTTGATTGGTGAGAGTGTTTTTTTGGACAGTAATTGGTGTGAGTTTCTTACACGTTCGTACCAAACTTTCTTCTATCTGTCTGTCTGTCTATCTGCTCAGTTTTTTTTACCATGCCATCTACTCAATGGGCGCCTTGGGGTACTTATATTTTGTTTTTGGACACAATTTGTAATCATTGTACATATATTTTTTTTTATAATAAATTTGTTTTACCCATAATGAAAATTTTAAAGGAAGAGAATCTTTTTCGGGCATACCATATATATAATCGATCTCTTGTCTTTTTATAACTCTTCTCAGTATGACAATTGCGTACAATTTTTCTACTTTCCAACTGGGTTTGGTGCGAGGAAAGGGACTGGTGAGGAAGAGAAGAGGCAGAGAACTGGTTGTAAATTTCGTGCATCACAAAACGTATTTGTATACATAAACAGTTAGAGTTCAGAATAAATATGCACATAGCTAAAGCTTCTGCTACCTTGCATTCATTGGAACTTCGCCATGATTAATGAATTCACCAAAAAGAAAATGTTTTATTAAAAAAAAATGAATCAAAATTAATGAGATTCATCAAGATATGTTGCTATATATGTAAGGGAGCCGGTTCTTTTAAGTTTCAACACTTCTACACTCATTACAAAGAAAATAATAAATATTTCTCAAATCGATGCGAACCGGCTTCTGAGTTATATTACTTTCTGAGTAGGACCCACGTATGCATTTGTCAATGTTCAGTTGATAAGCACCTTTTGTTTTTTTTAATAATTGAAGTGTTATATATATATATATTATACTTCAATTCTGCAACTACCTTTATGCACCTGTTTTTTACGAGAGAGTTTGGTGGGTTAGTACCTCCCCACCCACAAGTCATACCATACCAATAGGTCCAAACGTAATGGCACCGGTCCATATAAAAAAGTATTTTGCTTATCATTTGTGTGGGAATTTTTACCCATAGCCATGGCCTGATTTCAGTTGTTGAAAGTTTGGTGGCTGGGGGTGTTGACTTTCATCTGATGGTACTTCTTAGACTTAACTACGGCGGATTTAAATAAAATTTTTCCTTATATTTATACAAATTTATATAATAAAATACATAAAAAATTAAATTTTATCTCCTATATTGCTATACATTTTTCCCTCAAAATCATCACTTCACTCATTTCTATCACATGCTCAACCATTTAATATTTAATTAATTTATAATTTAATATAATTTTCATTTCAGATATTATCCATACATAATAGTATAGATCTGTTAAAAAAATTTATCGAATTTCATATTTTGATAAAATTTTGTTAATATCTTTAAGAAAAATAATGGGTAAAAATAAATTTTGAATAATGAAGGAAAGAAAAATTATTATTTAATATAATAATATTAATTTTTTAAGATTCAAATTTTTTGTTCTATCTTGCTTGAAGGCACGGGTAATGATTTACATAATTTTGTAAGATGGACTAATGCCATAACATCACTATCTGAGAATCACGTTTTGGAGTGGGTGAGTCCTCTAGTCCACTTCAATTAATATGGCAAACAGCGCATTACTCACCCAACATTTTGATGGATGCTGAATATGAAAATCTATTTAATCTTATAATTAAAAAAAATTGAATTCGTAACTTATAAAAATACAATAATAATCAAGATTGATCATCCATATCTCTCCTCTATTTTTTTTTAAATTTTTTCTCTATTCACTTTTATTTTAAATTATATAATTAAATAAAAAAGTTTAAACTATTGTTTAAAATATAAATGATACATGATCAATGTTTAATTTTTAATATTATAGAGTATTTTCACGAGATTATTTCTAGGACATCTATGTGCATGTGCAATGCAAGAAGGTAGTGGTTGTGCAACATTAGATTTTTTCGACTTCAAATGCCAAGACTCTGCCTCTCAATGTTGACAAAGAGTTATATGTATTTAACAATAGATTCAGATCTATTCTAATGTGAATATTTCACTCAAAAGTTTTTTATTAATTCAAAGTGATTAATATGTAGAATCAGAATAACTGATTCACGAATTTTTTCTTCATTAATAAGTGAATGACCCGACCCAACTTATATATAAGTGAGCCCCACTGAAATGCATAATAGATGATCGGCCTAAAAAAAAAAAAAATTGAGAGAAAATACATTGGAGGATATGTTACCAGTCGAAACAAGGCATGAGGTTTATTATTAATTCGCAGCAAAGTTGATATCCAATACATCACAGATGGTTAAACACAGTGCAGTTACAACCATATCTTCCAACATTTATTAGGAGTAACACTACACTCGTAAATGCATTAATAAAACAAAGAGTAATAATAATAACAAAAGAAGGAAAGCAATAGCAGCTAACAAGAGACAATAACACAAGTTCACATAAAGCATTACTCCATCAAGCTTTCCATTCATTTATTAAGCTGCTTTGTGCGGATAGAGACGAACTGGAAGTCCCTTGGCTGGGATAGGCATGGGATCAACAACAATCTTCTCATCAGGAATCACTTTCTCCCACTTGAATCTTTTCACAATATGGTGCATGAAAACAAGTATTTCCAATCTAGCATACTCTTTTCCAGGACACATCCTAGGTCCTCCACCGAAAGGCACAAATGTGTAAGGAGCAGGTCCATTCCCATCAAATCTCGAGGGATCAAATTTTAAGGGCTCGGGAAAATTTTCAGGATTTCTATGTGTTGAGTTTGCGCTCCAATATATCTGCATAGATAGAAAAAGAAACGCGTATTAAGTGAATTAGATTTATTAAGTTTTTTTATTTGTTAAATCAATGTAGATTTGCATGGTTAATTAAGTAAATTTGTTCACCTTCCACCCTTTTGGAATAGAGAAACCATTATACATGAAATCAACTAGGGCTTCTCTGAAAGCTCCCTGGAGGGGTGGAGCAAGTCTTAGAACTTCACATGCTACGTTCCATGAGTACCTCATCTTTTGAATATCATCCCAATTCAACAGTTCACCTGGAGCTTTCGAGTTCGCGATTTCGATTTGCTCTATTGAAAAGTTAAAAAAAGAAAAAGAAAAAGAAAATAGTAATTAGGTTCTCTTCCACCCATTATTCTCCACCGGGTCAGGGATAAAACACACACACACACAGACAAAGAACTTTTTAAGATTCTAATTGAAGTAATCATTAAGTGGTTTATCAACAAAGATTTCCCAGTAATACGCTAAAGACATGAAGCAGTGGGTCTCAGTATTTATTGAGATCCACAATAAAATCAATGATTAAAATTATCAAATTTAATTTTTTAATTTATTTTTAAAATTCATGTAACATTGCCCGAATCTTATATCATCGACTCACTGAAAAACCACTATTTAATAAATGCTACTTATCTGCAAAGAAACTTTCTTTGAAAACTACAAGGATCTATGAATATGAATACACCTACCCTGTCCACCACCCACTTTTGACAACTCAATCAGTCAAGTCATCAAAGAAGAATATTAAATAAATTTAAAAAATTAATTTAATGAACCAATATCATTGAATAATCGCTGAGTTCCAATAAATACAAGTATTCACAATAAAATTATTAATAAATATAATAATCACATCATTAAATTAAATTTTTAAGTTAGTGTAACATTGAGAAATGATATGTATCTTAAATTTATAACTCAAATTTACATTCCAAATCAAAGAAGACTATTGGATCAGTGAGTTCCATTTAAAAAAGTTGATAGAATCCACTGATCCAATTGTCCTCATTGATTTGAATTACAAATTTGAGATACATAATACTACTCGCGAAACATTTCTTGTCATCATATAGCATGATTCACTTGGTTTCTCTTTCTCACTCCCTCTATCTCGAATAACGCTAGTTATCCACGAAGACATGTGTACCATATTGAAGGATTTTGTGTTGATTTATTTGTGATTATTGATCTTAAAAATAATAAAATATAAGTAAAATAATAATAAGCAACAAATTTTACACGTATGTGTGATAACTTTTTGGTACCGTATTTTGACCCATTTATCTCTTAGAAATGTCTTCTATTTTCCTTGTTTTTTAATCATATAAGGGAAATAACTAAACATGACCATCAGAAGGGAAAAAAAATGGTTACTACTAATTAGGTTCTTACAACGTTGACATCAATGTCAAGGTCATTTAAAGGTCGGCCGGGGTATCTACCACATAGATATGGTCTTTTCTCATGTTAAAAGCAGGACAGATTGAGGAAGTTTTTATTTTGGGTTTTTTGGGGGGGGGGGGGGGGGTGGAGTTAAATTTTTTGATAGCAAAATCATGGGATTTGTTGACAAAAATAAAACAAACTTGAATTTCTAAAAAAAACTTGAATTTCTATTACAAAAAAACATAATTCAATTGGATTTGAGTATCTTTATCTATATGTAGTGTTTGTAGAAAGGAGAGATGGTTGGCATATCCCCTAGAGAGTGTCGGGAGCAGCCTTTGGGGTTACCTGTTACCAAACACATTCGCGGTTAAGGCTATCCGCCTCGGTGGATCTAATTATATGCCAATAATATTTTTCTTTTCTTAATTATCTGTGAAAATCTAGAATAGAGGTAGCTAGGCTTACCCTTGTAGACACCCTCGTAGACCTCAGGCAGTTCAGCAAGAAACTTGACGACGAAAGTGCAGGCAGAGCTAGCAGTGTCATGGCCACCAATCAACAAACCCAAAATCTTATCAGCTATATCCAACTCAGTCATGAACTTGCCATTCTCATCGCTCGTCAATAACATATGTGACATAATATCTTGTGTTGGCGATGCCTTTCCCTCTGCCAAATCAATTTTTCTTTGCTTGATGATAGAAACAAGCTCTTTTCTGATGAAGTTGGAGGCCTTGATTGCACGGTTAAACGGAGTTCCAGGCAAGTCTATGGGGATAGATATAAGCCCAGAAGCCAAGACGGCGAATGGGTCTCCAAGCTTAGCAACATGGATGGGGTCTTCTACACTTACAAACAAGCGAGCAGCGAGCCAGAAAGTGTAGTTTTTGGCAAGAGGGAACACCACGACTTCGTCTTTGTTTTCCCAAGCCGAAACAAAGTGACGTTGAGCGATATGATCCATTATCCCAATGTATCGCTGTAAAGCTTCGGGTTTTAGGAAATTTGGTAGCATTTTTCTCATCTTGATGGCCTCTTCTTTTGAAGAAGTTTGTTGCGAAGAAGGGAACACTTTGTTTACAGAGTTAGGCCACCATGCCTGAACAAGCTTGTTCTCGTTGGAGAACAAGAACTTGTTACCGCCTGAGCCACAGAAGACGGCCGCTTGTTCTCCGAGGAGAGATGTCTTGAAGACGGTGGACGAGTACTTGGCCATCCGGTCGAATATGAACTTCTCCGGATAGCCTTTCCATCCCGTGGAGAGAAACTCGAGGCTTTCTCCGATGACTGGCCATCCGGTCTTGCCCGGCGGGAGATTTCCGCCGGACTTGTTGTTCTTGTAGAAGAGGAAGTGGAGTGAGAGAGAGACTAGAAGGATGAAGAGAGAGAGGAGAGAGACATAGAAGAACTCCATGTCTTTGCTAGCACAGAATTGGTTATGCTGTGTGACTTAATTGGGATGTGTTTGGCATTGGCATTTATATAGGCACAAATGTTTTGTGAGGTCGACATTAGTGGGTGAATATAGGAATCTTATAAGAGACAATCTAATGGTAGTTTATTTTAAATCTAAAGGTAGTTTATTTTTTCAATGGTAGATTTTAAAACTGGGGAAAAAAAAACAAAAATTGGGGGATCCTACTTTTAGATTTTATTAATTTTGATCTACTATTAAATTTGTTGTATTTTATCGTGGATGTTTATGTGTCATTCTCGTACTTAACCTTAGATGATTAAACTTGATTAATTAAGTTCTTCAATTGTCCACACACTATCACGATAATGAGTAAATATTGAGTGTAACAGTGACACTACATCATCATTGTCATTTGATATTACCATTCAATAATAAATCTACAAATGAATAAGCTAAAGTGGTAAACCCTACTTTGGAGGTTATTAAATGACATTACTAGAATATGTGGGATTCACTTATTTATTTGTAAGCTTATTATTAGATGGTGGTATTATATGTTAATGATAACGTGATATTACCGTTACACCTAATATTTTTTCCACAATTATGTGCAGAATATAATGACATGACGACAATATTTCTCGAAAATAATCTACGGTTTAAGAATGACAAAATAATGATGGACTGAAGTATTCTTATTAGAAAAGTTTTATGTCATTTTTTGTATATATAATCGGATACCTTGTTTACATACGCTGCTTTTTTTTTTTGTACAAGTATATATATATAATATAGTTTTTATTTCTCCAACAAAATATATAACTATGTGAATTTCTTCAAAAGAGGCTTTAGTATTTTGGATCACAATTAAGGGAAATATTGTTAATTTGTACCTAGTTTGCAAAAATAATGCATAGATATGAGTAGTAATTAGTGTCAGTTATAAATTCAGATATCTTGAATTTGAATTTTGACTACTCTTTATAACTAGGTCATGAGAGATAAATCCCTTATGAATACCCTACTCTCAACGGGAATGACCTGTTTTTGATCAGATTGAGAAGGAGATTAATCGAGATGTGCGTAAGTTGATCTGAACATGCTTAACCATTGAACCAAAAAAAATATTTTATAGAATCAATTGTCAATCCAACCATATCAAAGTGTGAGGACTTAAATTAAATTTAAAAATTAGATATAAATATTAATATTAGTGCATAATAAGTAATTGTCTTGTTTTTTCCGAGAAGCATGGGCAGATTGAAACAAAAGAAAGAATCATTGTTGGACTTTATTACATTAGTTGTTATCTTTTTTTGAATTATTGTTTTTGTCGAAGTTATAATATATAAAATCGCTCAAACCCAAAATTTATGTGGAACAAAATTGAAAATGCCCTCAAACTTATCAAATTTATTGGTTTTTATAAAAAAAATGTAGATCAAATTAATCAAACAATCACTAATTTCATGTCCATTTCATCAAAAAATCGCTCAAGTATTACTATTTTTCAACATGTACAAGTAAAGTGAGAAAAATCGAACAAAACGAGAGAGAAAGAGTATGTAAATCTCTCAAACATACAATCTCAACATATATAAGGTTTAGGTTAATGATTTTATGTATGGTTAAGCTTTAACCTCTGAATTTGCTTTAGTCATCAGTTGTTGATTTGTAGATGTTGTACCACTAACTATTCAATTAGTAATACTTTGATAAAATTGTTAAATTGAGAACTGTTTTGAATGGTTGATGATTCAATATATTTCAAATTAATGATCGATGGTAAAGTAAACTTAAGATCAGAACTTGTGTGTATATAGTATAGTGATGCAATGTTTTCAAACTAATAATCGAGTGGATAAAGTAAAATCAAGATCATAATTTGTATATATAATGTATAATTTTCATATGTTAGAGGCCACCACAATTGGGCTCCGTCTTTACTCATAATATTTAGAGAAAGGATAATTTTTGCTGCTTTCTCGTATATTTATTTAGAAATATATTGTTAGAGTAATGCGTGAGAGAGCTCTTTAGGAACAATCAAAGAAAAGGAAAATGTTGATGAAGATAGGTTCCTGCTGCTGATCTTTCTTAGGAAGAAGGAAAGATTGGATGAGTGTAAATTAGAGTAAACCTAGATTAGAAGGAAAGAGCTGTTAAAATTGTTTGTCACAAGAGGCCTCCCCTTATTCAATTATAATAGATAAATTCTGAAAGTGAATGTCGTGTCCTAAAGAGTTACATTATCTCTTACATTCGACTTGCTATCCTGACTAGATCTACTTAGTTATGTTCTGTCATTGCTCTCTTCTTTTCTATTAGTTAGTTGGTAGTTCCTATCCTACTATTCTAGTATCCCACCTTCCCTATTATGCTCTTCCTGTCCCTTTCAATATTTAAATAAATGAAGAAAATTATTTACAAAAGAAAAAAAATGTTATTAATTTTGTCGAAATAACTTAATTCCACATAGAAAAAGATTGGAATAAAAAGGTTTAAATCGAACTCTTGTGTGATTTAGTTAGTGAGTGAAATAAAACATAAAACCGATGCACCGGGAGAGGTGAGTCCTGGAGCCGAACCCACGTGGGTCGGGAGGGATAAAGTCAACTCCATTGGATTGGTCACAAAGAAAAACTCCATCGGATTTAAAATATAGTTGTGTTTCTGATTAAAGTGGAGACAATAAGATTATGAACAATTCTACTCTAATCAAATTGCTATTATTAAATTAATGTGAATTGTTTGATCCGTATATTCATTAACTTTTTTTTTATTATAAACTACTTTAATTCGACCACTCATAATATAAACAATTTTAATATACACATTATTATTCTTACGCAATCGAGATCGAGTCTATCTTAAAGAAAAGAACAAACAGTCATGATAAATGATAAAGACAAATTCGTATAATCAATCACAAATAATTAGGAGTTAATTTAACAACCAGTCATGACTTAGGAGTTAATGATGTGTAACAAGCACTTCTAATATGGTGGCTAAAGCACATGCTTTGAGGGTCGGTATTTATTTTTCCATTAATGACTTTAATAAAGAAAACAATCGATGAAAATGGTGCAGTACCCCCTTCCCTTGTCAAAAAGGACACCACCGGCACCACCCATCAAGGAAATCAAATGGAACAAACACATAAATATTGAGGTTGCCAAGTCTGTTACCTATTTGCTGAAATTGTTACATCATCTTTTCATTGTCATCCTCATAAGAACTACAACAACTGATTTTTTTTTTGATAATGAAAGAGGAATAACTTTTTTTTTTCAAAAGATAATCATTTATGATGGTGTGTAATATGCAGAATAAGTATTCAATGGGGTTTGCTCTGAGCTACAAAGCTCTTGGGATTAATGTTGTTATGTTTTTGGGGAGAGGGGGTGAATTGCACCTAAGAATTATAGTGGTTTACCAATTTGAGAGATCGGCCAATTCACTATTCAAGAGAGTCTTTTGCTCCTTGGAATTGTATAAAAGGTGATGATAGGATTTGTGCGCGATAAATTTCGCACAATAGATGTGATGGGAACAAATATCTCTCTAGGTGAACTCGAGTTCGTAAATGTGGTGGATTCCGCCAACAAGGAACGAGTTGAAAGGGTCAAAAGGGGCTTAAGGAGTGGTGATCAATGGCTCTTGGGGTTATCTGATCGATCATGGGGGGTGGCTGATCATTCCTGGCACACAAGTTAAAAGGGTGCCGGAATGTTTTTCGGCGTATTCCCTCCGACGATTAAGTCAGTTCTTTGAGAGAAGAGAAGAAAAAAGTACTGTATTACTCTTGAGGAGTCAATTTGTGCACCTTTGTAATGTGTTTTTGAGAACTATTTATACCTTAAAAGACACATCATTACTGATGGTCTAGACAGTAGGTAACGTCCAAAAATGAGGTAATATGTCTCCTACTTTGCATGGAAAACCCCCATTATTAATTGCTCAGTATGCCACACTTAATGCTCTTTCTTCAATGTGGAGACATTAAATGCACAAGCTATGGATCATTTAATGCTCCCACTCCTCGGCTCCCAAAGCCACTGTGGATATCCCATCATTTGAGAAATCATTAAATGTTTGTCTGAAACAACCGTATGTCAGCAGGGATAGTTTTGTCTTTTTACCTCCTACTCTGTATTTTATGCCACATGTTTGACTCCCCTTGGTTGAGTGTCCAGTTTATTCTATTGTTCTGGCTTCACTGTGCAGAGTGCCCTCATGATTCTTAGTCTAGTTTAGACACTCAACTATCAATCAATAGCCTTTCCAGAAGTCGAGAACATGTGGCAAGATCAGGGTTTCAGGGATACCTCAGGGCCGAGAACACTTGGCTTCCCCCGGAGTGGAGGTACTTTAGGAGTCGAGGGCATATACCTTGGAGCTGAGGAACATGTCTGTCAGAGCTGGGGGTCTCAGTGCCGAGGACACGTGGTATAATCAAAGGCATGGATAAACCTCGGCGTTGGGGACACTTGTCGTTAATCTAACACTCCTGGAAGTGTCCCATCAAGATTACTCAATCTTCTTAGTGTTATATTGATTTTCTCTTCAAAGTGAGGACTTTGTACAGTATTTATAGGTTAGTTCCTAGTTTTATAAAGTCTGGAGCGAGATCCTCGCCTCACTCTTATAACGCTTTGCTTGATTTCAAGCGTTGGTTTAAAAGGTTGAGGTTCTTGCGCCTAGACTGATGTTTACTGCCGTTTAGAAGGCGTTTATTAATTGACAGTTGTTTTATACTCATATTCGTCCCAATGTCTAAACTTCGAGTTTTAGCTTTCTTGGTTGAGCTCAAGTTTTTTTGGTTGAGCTCCCTTCTCGATCTTGATGGCCGAGCTCAAATTGAATTTTTTTAGTTATTATCAATTTAAAACACAAATTATTAAGAATAGAACTCAATAATGTTTAAGAATTGAGATTCTTGAGTTATTTCTCAGTGTCTAGCTCCATCCACCATTGCCGACTTCGTTGATGTTTAGTCTGCGTGTTGGCACGATTATAACTACTTGAATATGCTATTGAACCCGGCATTCTGAGAGTTTTAAGTAGTTATTATCGTGTTAGTACATAGATTTTAAGATATTCTTAGAGTTTCTTCAGTTATTCTCATATCGAGTTCTCTAAGAATAATACATGATGAAACTACCTAAGAATAATGAAAATAGCTTTCTATAAGAAAAAGTACATAGATTTCATGATATTTTGTTAAATCGAATCCACGAATTAAATTACTAGAAAAAAAGAATTTACAATGCCAACACCCCCCCCCCCCCCCCCCCCCGTCCCCCACCCTCTCTCTCTCTCTCTCTCTCTCTCTCTCAGTTAGGAAACCACGCCTTTGCTCAGAATTGTGCACCGGCAGTGATGGGATTGTACTCAGACTAGCTGCTGGGAACAATAAAATTAAAAGAAAAAAAAAAAAACAAGGGCTAATCTCACTTTGTATCTCAAAATATGTTTTAATTTTTAATTTATATTTTTACTGTTATGAATTGATAGTAATATGAACATTGTCCAAATTGTTGTTTAATTTTTTGTCATAAATTAAAGCACATGAGTTGCTAATGTTTTGAGCATGAGGATAGGGTGTATCCATCGCTGTAGATTTTCGTCAACGATCAATTTAATATCGTTTTATATACCAAAAATAAGATTTTATTAATTAAATAGTGACTAAATCTGTCATATATAACTCACATGAGACGACAATAATCTAGGAATTTATACGTAAGTCCATGGCCAAAACACTTATAACTCACATGTTTCAATTTATAACGAAAAACTGAATGATAGTATTGACAAGATATACATTACTACCAATTCATAACATTAAGGGTATAAGTTAAAATTTTTAATATTTGAGGATATAAATTAAAAATTGAAACATCTTTTAAAAAACAAAATGGCAATAGCCTAAGAAACAAAAACAAAAACTTATGTAATGTTTCATTTGAGGGCATTTTTACCATTACAAAAAAGTGAATCTTAGCATTTAAAAAACAGATTTTAGGACACATTTTTTTTGTTCCTCCAGGATTTGTGTCTTCTTCTGGATCTTTGTTTGGTCGCACACACAACAGACAACTTTTATAGAAAGACAAGTAAATTAAACATCGATAGGTCCCTCCAATTAACATTGCCAGCTTGAGACCCCCCAACGTGACTCATCGATAGATTTTTCGACTGCAACTCAAGCATGGCAGGCCAACCATACCCCTATAAGGAGGGTTGCCATCACAGACATGAGCTGGTCCATGCAGTGATCATTCGAGGGTGAAATTTTATTTTTTTTATTGTGTGTGTATTGCTAGGTTTTGGAAAAATCATGTTCATGTCTTATAATCATCACAACCAAGTTTTAATGTAACACTTTATTTTATGTTTCGTGTTGACTCACAAACTCAGAGTCAATTGATAATAAGTGGTGTCCTGCGCAAGGATTGTATTATTCTTATTTTAGAAATTAGAGGTGTTATATAGGACTGTTTTGAGAATCCCCTGCCCTGCAACCCCCATTTCAAGCATGGAGAGGCAAAGGTTCGAAGGATAGGATCATAGAATCATGAGATGCCATTATGGCACACATAAAGAGGAGAATCAATTATATTTCAAGGAGAATTTTGGCCAAAAGCCTCATTATCCCAACACCTATATTATACTAAATCATCAAGTCATCTAAAGTTAAACAACAAAAGGGACATAGCATGAGTAATTGTATATTTCAGAACATAGCAACTAGATGACCAATTAGAACATTTTTTTTAGTTCAACCATCAGAAGTGTACGTTTTATCTTACACGCGCCTCAATCAATCTCATTTTCTATCCGGTCAAAGAAATGTCATCTACGTTAAGATTAGGGTATTCATAATGGATAAATCTCTCATAGTATAGCCCCAAAGGATTACTAAGACTCAAACTTAAGACGTCTGAATTTAGAACTCGTCTTTATTATCACTTCAACTACTCCTTAATATTATCAATTAGAACATACTTAAGCTGTTATTATATGCCGATGATATGAGGGTATTTTCCTTAGCTCTAGATATGATATGGTAAGCCTAAGTAGGCCCAAATGATGTAGCCCAGAGCAAAAGAGTTCATCCTACCCTCAACAATGCTCCACTTGGCTAGGAATAAAATCACTCCCATTGAATCGTCACTCAGTTGTCATTAACCAATATCATCCACATAAACCAACATAATAACTAGTTCACCTTCAACCCTCTTAACAAAACAAGGTTTTCTATACACTATCTTTAAAAACCCCCTTCTTTCAAGGGATAAGTAGACAATCTCTCATACCGAGCTCTAAAAGCTTTCTTCAAATCGTAGAATACCTTTTTTTAGACGATATTCATGCCTACAATAATGTGTCCTCAAAGCTCTTAAGTTGTTCTATATAGAATTCTTCTTTAAGAAAACTATTTAACTAGGAATGCACTTTGCACGTTCATTTGATAGAGCTTGAGCCTCATGTGATAAGTTATAACAAAGAGTTGTCTTACTAGCTCTAACCTAATTAACAGTGTAAAAGTTTCATCACAGTCGATTTTCTCAACCTGTGTCTCTCTTTGTACAAAAAGTCCAGCTTTATTTTCTATCAATTTACCGTTCACATCAGATTTGTTCTTAAAAATACACTTGGTTCCAATGACATTTGTGCCCTTCCTAGGAAAAAAAACTGTTATTTTTTCCTAAGAAAAACAATAAGGAATAAAAAATAGAAAGAGAGACAAAGGGAAGATCTCTATATCGCACATTATTATTTTTTTCAGTACATTATGTTATTAAACATTCAAAAGCAACAAAAAACCAAGTACGTGCCTTAACTAGAATTCTTGGATACAAATACAAGAACAACATTAATTGCAAAACATGATAGTACGTACACGAAAAAAAAAAAAAAACTCCGCTCATGCATAGCTAATTTTGTTGTGGGATAATTGCATGCAATTGAGATATGGAGTTACATGCATTAAGCTTTGCGAGGATGGAGGCGAATTGGAAGCCCTTTCTCAGGATAAGGCATGGGGTTGACCACAACCTTCTCATCAGGAATCACTTTCTCCCACTTAAACTTGGTCACAAGGTGGTGCATGAAAACAAGTATCTCTAGTCGGGCATACTCTTTTCCAGGGCACATCCTAGGTCCGCCACCGAAAGGCACAAATGTGTATGGAGCAGGTCCGGCACCCTCAAATCTCGAAGGATCGAATTTCTGAGGCTCGGGAAAGAATTCAGGATTCTTATGCGATGAGTTTGCGCTCCAATATAACTAGAAAAAAAAAATATGTAAGCAGTAAGTAATCTACAATTAAGTACTTGGTTATAGTATCAGTGAAAGATTTTCATAAATCAACTTACCTTCCAACCCTTTGGAATTGAGAAACCGTTATACATAAAGTCAGTAATGGCTTCTCTGAAAGCACCTTGGAGGGGTGGTGCAAGCCTCAACACTTCGCAAGCTACATTCCAGGAATATTTCATTTTTTGTATATCATCCCAGTTCAAGAATTCACCCGCAGCTTTTGACTTGGCAATTTCCACTTGCTCTATTGACAAAGACACAACAAAGTAATTCCAATTAGATACTTATTCCTTACATGGAACACTCGTTGCCGGCTTAGCGCGGGAATTAAAGGTGATAATTTCTGACACAATACGAAAACACGAATTGAAATTGATACGAAATTAACGGATTAGAAATGACTATTTTTCGACACGAACTCGTATATAACACGACTTGTTAACACAAATAATAAATGAGTTAGATTAGTGTCAAATACGAACAACATAAAATTAACACGTTTAAGTAGTATTATAAAAATAAAATATTAATTTTTTATTATATTTTATCAAGTAGTAACCTAATTCTTGTACAAAAAAATTATTTTTATTATTATATTTATCAAATTAATTTTTAATTTATAAAAAAAGTATGAACACAAGTTTAATTAAGTGATAAGAAAATTTTAGACATAAAACTAAGTGTTGGGTTAGAATTGATTGACACTCGACACGAACGCAAAATGACCCATATGAACCTAATTCGACCCGACCCAAGTGCCACTCATATAACTTATTAACTAAATTCATTATAACTATGAGAATGACAATGGACCCTAATAATAATTATGCCTTGTAAACAATTCAATAGTTATAATAAATTAAACCAATAAATTATATACCAATAATTTTATGGGTTACACAATAGTGTCCATTTACTGGTGACAAGAAGAAGAAAGATAAAAAGTCGAAATTATAGCGACAATAATAAATGCAGTTGAATGTATGATGCAGAATCGTAGATTGTGAGATAGCGTTCATGAGAAAAGTACAACTGATTACTATAACCAAAGAAAGGGTGATTGAGATATGAATGCTTGAAAGTTAGGTGGTCAACACCTACCCTCGCCAGCACAATTAATAAAGACGTCAATAAAAATAAATAAATGAAAATGAAAACTTGAGGGAGTAATTCGTTTAGAACAATTTTGCATACCACCCCAATATTTTTACCATTTTTTTTGTACAAAAATATTGTGGATTGTTAGATTTATAGGTTTTAATGACCCCCATTAAACATTCAATGATCAATATTGTGCATAAATTTTGGTATATAATTAGTAAGACTCGTAGGTAGATCCACTTATCAAATTTTCTTAGTACACAAACTTTAATGATACTTTTAAGATCTGAAAATAGGATATAATTCTTTGATTTAATGATGTGCTCCTAGAAAAAGAAAAAAAAAAAAGACAAGGATTGTATATAATCGATCACAAACAAAAAAAAGGAAAACGCCCAAAAAATAGGGTTAGGATTCTCTTCCTTATATTTTTACTCAATAATAGATCATTTACTATAAATTTAAATAAAACCCGCTATTTATAATCAATAAATAATGGGTGATATAAGGTCAAGTGTAATTGATTAGAGAATTTGGATCCGAAGTAAGGGGAAATTTGTTTAATATTTGATAATTTCTTCCTGAATTTATTGCTGAAATAGTTCTTGTGAGTTAGCAATGTACCATCATGTAACCTAAAACTACCACAGCAATTAATCATAACAGATTGAGTTTTCCATGTTGATGATGTAAGATACATATACACCTATGTGTATATATATACTCGTCAGGAAAGTGCAGTTCAGCAAGTCAAATTAATTTTTTAAGTCCTAATAAAATTAGTCGTTGAAAAAGAAAGTAATTACCTTTGTAGACTCCCTCGTAGATCTCAGGTAGCTCAGCAAGATACTTGACGATGAAGGTGCATGCAGAGCTGGCTGTGTCATGGCCACCAATCAACAGACCTAAAATCTTATCAGCAATGTCCAATTCATTCATAAACTTGCCATTTTCATCACTTGTCAACAACATATGTGACAAAATATCTTGTGTTGGGGATGCCTTTCCCTCTGCTAAATCACTTCTTCTTTGCTTGATGATAGATTGAAGCTCCTTTCTGATGAAGTTTGAGGCCTTGATTGCTCGGTTAAACGGCGTTCCGGGCAAGTCTATAGGGACAGTTAGAATCCCAGAAGCTAATAGATTGAAAGGTTCTGCAAACCTATTGACATGGTTTGGATCTTCAACGCTAACAAACACACGACAAGCAAGCCAGAAGGTGAAGTTCTTGGCCAAAGTGAAGACAATCACTTCTTCTTTGTTGTCCCAATGTGAAGCAAAGTGTCTCCGAGCGATATCGTCCATCATACCAACATATCTCTGCAAAGCTTCGGCTTTGAGAAAATTGGGTAGCATTTTTCTCATCTTGGTGGCCTCTTCTCTCGAAGATGTTTGAGTTGAAGAAGGGAATACTTTGTTGACTGAGCTGGGAAACCATACCTGAACCACCTTGTTCTCGTTCGAGAACAAGAACTTGTTACCGGCGGCACCACAGAAAACAGCCGCCGGTTCCATGAAAAGAGAAGTTCTAAAGACTTGGGTCGAGTATTTGGCCATGCGGTCGAAGAAGAACTTCTCAGGTTGGCCTTTCCACCCACTGGAAAGAAAGTCCATACTTTCTCCGATTACCGGCCATCCTGTCTTGCCGGGCGGGAGGGCTCCGCCGGAAGGGCCAGTTTTCTTGTGGAAGATGAAGTGCAGTGCTGAGAAAGAGAGAAAGAGAAGAAAGAGGCATAGGAGAGAGAGAGAAAAAACATCCATTGCCTTGGTTGTTTTGCTTGGATTGGGAAACGCTTTAGGTGTGGCGCAGTTTTGAGATGAGTTTGGCACTCAACGCGGGCCATTTATAGATTATTTATACCTATACTATTAATAAAAAAATTTTAAGAAAAAATTTTAATTTACTATTTTACATTATTTTTTATGGTTATATATTTAAATTATAATCACAACCTTATTTATTTAAATATTTAAATTATCCACTAACAACTCTTTTAATTCTCTATTATTTTTGTATAAATATCAATATTTATGAAAAATTTTAATTCACTACGCAACCTTATGTATTTAAATATTTAAATTATACTCTAACATCTCTTTTAATTCTTTATTATCTTTGTATAAATATCGATATCTATGAAAAAATTTAATATACTATGCAACTCTTAAAAAATATATATGCATCATTATAATTTTCAATAACGTGTTTAAAAAGTCTATCAATAAATTATTACTTATTTCAAATAAAAAAATAACATTATGTCTATATATGTATTTTTTTTTCAAACTATACTACTAATAAAAGTACTTAATAATGAAAAATTTTTCATTCACTATTTTTCTCTTATAAAAAATTTTAAATACAACACTATCATTCCGTAATTAAATATCTAAATTTCTATCATATACTTATTTGTTTAAATCTCCAAATTACCTAAAATATCTCTTTTAATCATTTATTCACTATGTATAAATATCAGTAGCTATGAAATTTTTTAATTAACTACATTATCCTTAAAAATTATATGCATCATTATAGTTTTCAATAAAAGTGTTTAAAAAATCTTTAAAACTTTCATCAATATAACAGTATTCATTTCAAATATAAAAATTATTTATATATGTATATTTTTTTTATCTAAAATTTTAATCATTTCATTTTTAAGATAAATTATAATGTATTTTTAAGTAAACCTTGAATTTTAGAATTTTAATATTTTTTAAAAATATATATTATAAAGTAGTGTGTTATATTTTAGGGTTAATAACATTTTTAATCTTTGAAATATACGTGTTTTATCAGTTTGGTCTTCATTGTATCAATTTTGTCAATTTGATATCTAAAGTTAATGGTTTAAATGATCTTCACATAGATAATTTGTTAAATTTTTGACAGAAGTGATCACATGAGACTAAATAATGGAATGACATGTGATCACTTGCATAAAAAACCTTAATGGATTATCTGGTTATGGACTATTTAAACAAGAATTGAATATTTTATGTACCAAATTAATAAAATTCATATATTAAGGGTGAAATTGACAAAAAAAACCCGCATATTTTAGATACTCAAAGTGCAATTAACCCTATATTTTATCCCTTTTAACCTAAGAATATTGACAATTATTGTTATTTTTTCAAGTTAAAGTCTAATCAAACAAATTTCAAATAAATTATTTTTATCTTTATTCTTTTGATTAGAGCAATAAATCGTTGGGAACAGAAAATATTTTTCAAATTTTATAATATAATACGAGCTATAAAAATATAATTTTTAATAAATTTGATATGATATTTAATGTACGTACACATATATCTAATACTTTTTATTAATATCGTGTATACAAAAATTATTCAGGTGCAAAGCATGTGTTGCATTGCTAGTAATATATAGAATTATAGACACACCGAAAATAGCAACCTTACAAATTAAAAATAGGGGAAAATTACACTTAACTGCTTACATACCCTTACATTTGAAATTTTATATATAAATCTTCTGAGGTTTGTAAATACGTTTCGATTAATATATCCATTAATAAATTACATCTAGATTTTCTAAGATTTATAGACATATAATACTTAAATCTTTTAAGTTTAAAATATTAAACTTAGATATTTTATTAGTTATGAAATATATTAAACACTCATTGTTTAGTTTTTAGTTTTATTTCAATAGATAATATAATTGTATGCAAATAAGTATAGAATTGAGTTTTTTTGATATATTTATATTGATTATAATTTTTTAGTCAAGAAATTTGAGATTTTGTTTAGTTTTTATGTAAATGGATGATATAATAGAACATACAGTATGATATACCCCTTCCTGACGGTGTGCTGGTAGGATCGCTTGCTTCCGTTACAGACCGGTGCTCTCCTGTTGTGCAGGTTTGAATTACCAATTAGCTAATAGTGGATTCTTGAGATTGGGATTTCCTAACCTTTTTCGGACCTCGGGAATAGGAGAAGCTTTCCCCTCATCCTCCTCGAGCTTCTATTAATATTAATATTGCCTCGTCGGTTCGTACTTGATGATAAAAAAATTGAATCAAGGTGAAAATTTTATTTAGTCAAAATCCAACTCATTATATCAAGAGTTCTAATTTCAATAAGATTTTATATATCATGGATAAATTAAATTTATCCACACGGATAACATTAAATCAATGTATTGACTACTAAAACTTCTAGAAATAGAGCCCTATCGATGCATGTCACTCCTAACTTCCAAACACAATTTAAACATTTGAATCACTTATTGACTTAGACATCGTAGAATTGATTTCCGGAGCTCTCCTTCGGTCTCCTACTTCTTTTTCAAGTGATCATAACCCAACAAACTAACTTGGAGGTCGTCCAAATTATCAACTGTACTAATTATGATTTTTTTTTAAAATTTTATTTCAATAAATGACATAATATAACAAGAATTTTGGTTATAAAATTTAAAATATTTGATATTCTATCGTAAATTAAAATATATTTGGCCTAAGTGTAATATTTTAATCTTCAGGGTCTAAGTATTGCATACTTCAGATTTTAGGGATGTAGATGTAATTGTGTGTAATATTTTAAATATAAAAAAATTTAGGTGATTAGTGACAAACTTCAGAGAGTCTGAGTGTAATTTTTTTTATATAATTTGTTTCATAAAAAATATTATATAAACCTAATTTGAGAATTGTTATCAGAATCTAATCAATTACAAGAGTCGAATTGAAAATCAACTTCCCCTAATATTAAAATTTGCAACTAATTCAATAACTTCATTAGATTAAATCTCTAATTAGATTCCCAAATAAAGTCCCTATAATATTTCTTTTTGTTAATCTAATCAACTAATGTATCAAGTAATATAGTCCAATAAAAAATAAATAGTAATAAAAACCAAATATTCGACCTAATTTAATTACGTAGAAGCTAATTGCAGTATTATAATTGTAACTCAACTCAATAAATTCTCGTCTTATTTTTCAGTTGCACCTCATTAGACCACCAAATCAAATTAGATTTGAAGTCCAAAAACAATAATTACTCCCTAAGCAAGTCCAAAAAATATTACCCATGATCAAGTCCAACAGTTTGATTTTACATTTATGTTAATAAAAAAGTCCAACAATCACAATTATAATAATTTTATTAGATTATGTTAGTTACCATAATAAAATTAAGAAAAAATTTCAATCACACCCTTTCTAATTTATCATATCTTCAAGAACAATTTCTCTATTATAAAAAATGTCACTTACACCCGTTTTAGTTTATATTTGAACACTACTAACACTTTTGCCATTAAACCACAAAATAAATTATCTAAAATACTAAAATTGCCCCTATATAAACTCTAAACAATCTTTCTATATAAAATTAGATTAAAATTTCTTTTCTATACATTAAAATTTGAGTCGATTAAAATTCGATTCGAGCTAATTAAATTTATTTTTTATTTATTAAAATTTGATTATATTAAAAAAAAATTATGTATTAAAATTCGAGCAAATTTGAGCTCTAGTTGAGCTGTTAGTCCCGATTAAAATCCGTTTCAAATCAATTAAAAAATATATATTTTTATTTATTAAAATTCGATTAAAATTGATTTCTTTTTTAAGTATTAAAATTTGAGTAAATTAAAATTTATATTTTTTTATGTACAAAAAATCAGGGTGATTAAAATTTAATTTGAGCCTTGGGTAGAATTTTTATCGACTCAAATTTTAATACATAAAACATATAATTTTTAGTCGACTTAAATTTTATAAAAAATAAATTTTAATTAATTCGAATTAAATTTTAATAAGCCCGAATTTTAGTATATAAAAAAATTTAGAAAATAAAGGGGTCATTGAAGATATACCTATCTAGGGTGTGAATGAAATTTTTTCTAAAATATATTATGAGTAATTTAGTAAAATTACATTCTAATTAACACATTTAATTTAATAAGGGGTGTTTCAGAAAATAGAGAGAATATTTTTGAAGATATGATAAATTAGAAGGAGTGTGGTTAAATTTTTTTTCTTAAATTAATAAATTATATTAGATTTTTGAGTTAAAAAAAATATTCAGTCATGAGATGATTTGTAAGGTGAAAATTTGGGGTGCCAAAATGGACTGTATTTGAAATAAAAAATAAATAAATTTGAACCACAAATCATCTGTGTACCAGATGCCAGCAATTTGTCTTTTGAAAATGCCGGCAATTAATGGTAGCATTCATTAAAAGCTCGTCAGCATAATCAAACGAATCTAACATAAAGTTGAATTTGTACGACGCGATACGATACGATACGATTAATTAACGTGAATAATGATAATTTAATTAAGTAAAACAATTTAATTAATTCTAGTGAACGAATCTAGTTAGCTGCTAAGAATAGGTAGAAGGTATTGATTTTATTGTTTTAATTTTACTTTTTTCCATTTTTTGATTTACTATTGCATATAATATTAAGGATTTAAGAGATCGGGTTCTACTACGGTTATATAAACATGATAAAAACACAAAATAACATAAATCAAAAATGATATAAAAAGATGATTCGATTATCACCATTAACGGAAGTTTAAACCTCATCTCCATGCACGGGGAAAATTTAAGGACAAACATTTACAAAGACACATAAAATAGCTTCAATTTGTACTTTAAATCTACACAACTTTTATTCTCAATTTTCCTTTCTTCCATTGTTTCTTAAAATAGAAAAAAGTTTATGAGATGCAAACCAAATTTGCAATTTAGGTTTTTTTTTTTTTCAGTAACTCAAGAACCCCCCCCACTAACTGAGCCCATTTAGACCCATGGCCGATAGTTAATCTGAACCCACGCACAAAGCCTCCTATCCACGTATAGAGATTAAATCTAAGAATGGTGACCACAATGAGCATTTTTACCATGTTAAGTATCGAATTCACATTTAATATAGGACCCAATTCCCAGCCACACTGTGAGACAAAGGGAAACTTGTCCTTCCACTCCTTCACTAAAGGAAGAAATCCAGTGATAACCTCTTTCTTACCAAGTCTGTTGGTCAGGTAATACCAGCCAGGGTTCGTCGTAGAATAGAACATGCTTTAAACTAGTGGCAACTTTAGAGCTCGCTTATATTGGGAAAGACCCCAGGTCCATTTGCAAATGACCATAACACACCCAGCCTAACCAAAATCCTCCAACTGTTGGAAGTGAGTTAAGTGAAGTAGAAGACAATGTCACGAATAGAACCAAGCATACAAGTCCCGTACCAGTAGGATTCAAATTCCTTTACGCCTATAAATAAACCTCTACAGGAACATATGGAGTTATGTTACTCCTAGTTTTCAATAGCACAACATTTCTTTGGGTCTTTCAATGACTTCAGCATCGAAGGATTGATTCTCGGACCTTCGTCTTTTTGGTGATCAATGGTCACAAAATGAGTTCCACTAATTCACAAAATACCAAAACAAATACTCTCTAAAACAGCTTAAGAAAAACATTTCTTCAAGATTCCCATTTCTCTATTTTTTTACACAAGTACAGCTACAATGGAATACGACCAGACTGCTAAAAGGAACTATTGCTATTAGGAAAAAAAATAAAAAGGCAAATAAGAATAAAAAGAGGGAAAAAAACAAAAAGGAAACCCAATATCAACTGCTAATTTGGCATTTGAAACAACACCCAAACATTGGTGGCAGGGGCGCAAAAAACCTAAAATGAACTGTCACAATCCTAGAGAAAAGGCCTATAGATAGAGAGAATTTGCAAACATGATTCCTCGGTGAAGGCTTTCACTGGCCGCTCCAAACTTGTTCTCCAAATGAGCTTCTCCCACAGCATGAGCAGCTGCACGCAACTATAGAATTCCATGGAAAAATGTTGAAGTTATTTTGTAATCATGAAGCATTTGACATAAGCAGCAAAAGGTCCATAAAAATTCAGTTGACAAACAAATGCAGGTCATATGGAGCTGCTTAAGAAAACTCAATTCCATTTCAAAGAGAGATTTTCCGGCCCACTCAAGTGAAGCCTAGATCAAGTTAGAAATGAAATTCACCAAGTACTGAAGAGCTGTTCAAAAAGAGCAGGTACTCTAGTCTGTTCTCCATGATTAAATAGCCCTTTGTCAGGGAGTTTATCCGAATTTCATTATACCAGGGCAGCATTTTTCAGCATGGTCCCAGGGCAGTCCAGACCTAAGTTCTCCTATAAGCTTAGCAAAGCAGCTCCAAGACTCCAACAATCTATAACCTCCAAAGACTAAATCTCTTCATCTTAGAGAAGAGACTAAACGAGTATATCCTGATTAAACCAGCAGATACTCTGCGTGAACTGTTTTTCCAAGCATCTTATTCTAACATTTGCCAGAAAAATAAAAAAATCCTACTATCTGAATTTTGTTTCACCCATCTGAATAAGAAACAGGATATAGAATTTCTCCAGATCTAATCAATTCACCTGATTCAGAAACTCATCAAGCCTTCTTGCTAGCCGTATAATACTTCCCTCAAAGATATCAGTCATTTGTACAACCTCTGCAAAAGATGCTCCCTGGAAAAATCAAAATGAAATATCATACCTGAATCTTAAGCAACATAAAAGTATTGACAGAGAAATAAAATGAGAACTAAAATTTACCACAACCAAGTTGAACTCAACTACCTGCCCCATTTTCAATAACTCAAACCAGTCAGCTAAACTACAGTTATCTCAATGGTAAATCCAAAAATCCCTCACCACTTGCCCTTTGAATTCATCAACACACCTATGAAAAGTGCTAAGCACAAATACGGATACAGATACAAAACAAAGATAACGAACATGTTTTATATTTTTAGCAACTTCATAATTATAATTTTCAATAGACATTTTTATAACAATACAAACCAAATAAGTAACTTTCACTTCACAAAAGATTGATCATCTTATTACGATATGTCCACAAAGATAACGTGACTAATTGAAGGAGTTAGAGCCAGCATTTAAATAGTTGGTTTACCTAGAAGTACTTCCGATTAACCTATTCAAAAGGATTTGAAAAATAGACATCCACAACAACAACTTTGTTTGGAATAGACTTTATTAGATTCGAACATTTTAGAGGTAAAAAACGGACCGAAAAATAAGTTAAGAAAACATAAGATTTTTTTCGGATGACCGATGGAGACATTCGGACATCCGGTAAGAGAAGATGCTGGCTTTGCTGTTTTGGACAGAATGTATTGGCGTTCGACCGAACCTTAGCACCGGTTGACTAGACAAGACCGTCGGAGGAAATAATGTCTAGTTTTTGGTTAGAATCTCTTATCCAATTGCATCAACTGTAAAATGGCATTGTGAGTCTTAAAGAAAGGACTTTTTGGGGATTTCTTGGGCATTAAAAGATTGATCTATATTGAAGAAAGATTATTATTGAGACATTTTGGCTACAAGGTCTATTGTGACTTTTTCTCATTGAATTTATTTGAGTGATTCTTTGTTTTAAAGAAAGAATAAAATTCTTATATTGATTGAGCTTCAAATTGTAATGATGTGTCTTCACCTACCGAAAAAGACAGAGATCTTCATCCGTTGAATAAGATAGAGATAGTGAAAGAGAGGCTTCGAGTAGGTTGGATAGAGGACGTAAGGTGGCTGAACCTCTTCAAATTGAGTTTGCTTTTCTTCTTCTTCCCCATTAGTCAATTGTATCATACTATTTATCTTGTTGATCATACAATTATTTACTTTGCAAAATTAGTATGAATTAGAGAAAGAAAAAATTAGTCATCAACTCATACAACCTAATACACGCCCCCTCTTAGTTTGTATGCTGGCCAATATGATATTCATTCATAAACTTCTGGTGGCGTATCAAATTATTTTACTCATCAAATATGTGTGTTTTGTATTCGATACCTATCCGACGAGTATCATATCCAATTTAGTGTCCAATGTAGCTACGTCAACCTTAATAGAATATCCATGACACTTGAATTTAAGCAAACCAAATTAAATTTCCAATAAATGAAATACTAATTGACAACAACACACTTATTCAAGAATGCTATATAATGGGAGCAGGTCTACCAGGTTTTCTTTTTCTTAATTCCTCATCTGGAACATTTTTAGTTAGTTTCATGGCTTCTAGTAGTATGGCCCTTGCTTCATCTAATTCATCGATACTGAAACTTTGCCATAGGGAAAAAAAAAAGGATAGAAAATAAAAAAGCTGTAGCATTACAATGTCCCACACTTGTGATATTGTGATGCACTGTAGATCTTTGGGGCATCAATGTATTGCACTATATGATTAATGGTCTCACTGCCAGCAGTTGCCAATACTATGAACATAGATCGGAGTACATGCAAGAAACATGCTGGATAAAGAAAACTAGAGAGAGAGAGTGTGTTTTTTCTTGACCCAAACTGTGGATGTTCTCCCATTGTATAAAGCACCACATACAAAAACAAAGCTATGTGCATATTATCCTTAAAGAAAGATCAATATTGAATGAGAACTATACAAGTAACCATTGAGTATCCAGTTTTAGTGACAAACTAACCTTTGACCAACAGTAAATTACATCCATCAAGAACGGTCTAACAGCCGCCTCCACGTACTCATCCACATTTACTTCCAATTTGCATTCATGTTGTATCTACACACAACATAGGAACCTTTCTAACTGTTTTTCAATGGTCATTTTCAAATGTTAACTTATTAAGCTGACGCAACACACCTCTGCTATTCTTCTTGCACTTTCTTGGAGTTGTTGTAACGGTTTAGCAAGTTCTGCTCTTAATTGTATTTGCTCAGTTGATCTGTCACCAGGAATGAAGCAACTTGAAAGAGCTGCAATTTGATGGTGATCAAGATCGTTGAATGTACCTAATCACAAAATCATTCAGAATAAATATATAGGTGGATGACCCAAAAGTAAAAAGACTTTCAATCAAAGTTTGCATCCAGAGTTTTTAATCTCTATGGACTATATGAAGTTCTTAATCCTGTATAGGAAGAAGGTATACATACTACGAGAAATATTAACGCGTGTGACTTGTTAGCAGGTAACCATGTAACGTGTTAGCATGGCTCAGTCCAGATATTGCACGTCAAGGATGGCAAGCATCAGGACAGGATTCAAATGTACAATAAAATGCAGACTGCAAAGGTATTAAGGATCAACAATAATATATTCACCATTGAACATCAATTCAGTGACAAGAAGTTCGTCTCCTGTGTCTATCAAGCAGGCTGCTCGTCCTTTTAATTGCACAACGCCATCGGCATCGATATGGCCAAGCTTTTTCAAAACCCGTGAGCGGTTTTTAAGTTCATCACGAAATTTTTGAAGCTGCAAGCAGGAAACGATACAATTAAATTGTATAACAAGTTGACAACAGCACAATGTAATTCAATTTTGCAGGGAATCTAGAAATTTCAGCATCTTGAACCAACAGGATGCATGTTTAGGTTAGGTTTCCAATCTGACTCCCGCCTCCCTCTACAGTTAAAAAAAAAAAGGAACACACAAACCCAAAAGAAAATGGTAAAGGAAAAAGAAATAACAAATTAATGTAAATTTGACTGATGAATTTGTCATCAACAAGTTAAAAAGAGGAAGTAAGTTCTGCCCATTCATGACACTCGCGTGTAATGAATGACTATAAATGAGACAACCTTGATTTGAATTTAAAAATTTGTGGCATGGTAATGAACATGGAATAACACATACACTAAAAGAACAAAATCTTAACAAGTAGAACAATAATATACGTGCATCAATTTTCCAAAACACAATGTCTAACTCAGTATACATTGTGAAAATGGAATACAAAGGTACTACAAAAAATATATTGATAAAAAATAATACTAGTTGGGCCAAATTTGGGAACCTAATCCATCTTGTTGTAGTATTAATTGTCGGTCCTAATATTATTTGGGGCCCTCAATTAGTAAAATAATTTCCCAGATTAAAACTTCAAAGTAAGTCCAACAAGAATTATTGACTAGCTACATATAATAGCTTAATGCAATAGATCAATTAATAAAAGAGTGATTCAAAGTTAAAACAATAAAATAAACCCAAAAAAACAACTTACAAATATAATATTAACACGATATACTGTTGTAACGTCACATTTTTTTGAGTTAAGTATTACATATTTATAAAAGGACTGAAGAAGGGCACATTTGTCAAAGAACAAGAAGACTGAGAGTCTGCTGTTCAAAGAAATAAAATAACAGACTGAATCTTGATGCTTAAAGCGTGAGACTCAATGAAAGAAAGAAAGTGTGAGACTCTTTGGTCCGTTCAGTTTAGAGAGAGAGAGAGAGAGAGAGAGAGAAATCAGCTCTTTGCGATCAGAACATGAATCTTCACGATCAGAGCTCCAAGCAACAGACAAAACTCATGACCACTTATGATCTCCAGTGTTGCTGATGTGCCATTGTCATTAGCTGTGAAGATCGCTAGACAAAGAATCAACAGAATAGGAAGAGGAGGTCTTGCAAACTCATAGGAGCTTCAATTTTTCATATATGCCTACAATTTCTTCATGTTCTATATAAAACCATCTGGATATTATGAGTTTTCTGCATGGGTCTTGGCTTCATCATTTTTCCTCTTTCTTTTTTGGGCTTTTTTGTTCCAGATAATCTTGATATTTGAGGTTCCATAACAAATCGCCTAGGCAGGCAACAAATTTGGCCAAGTCAACTACGAGTTTAACTGATTCGGCCAATTTGTAATGCGGTGAAGAACGAGTTGGTTGAGACTCATAGATTAAGTATAATGTGATGTAACCTAGAGGGGAGTGAATAAGTCTTGTGCACTTGAATGCAGAATAATACCTAAATAAAACATAACTCACACAAATTACAAATAAAACTCCTAAGTGATGTAGATCTTTGACCTAATGAATGAATGCGTATTGCCGATTTTAATACAAGTTGATTCAACACAATTTACAATTACCAATCAATCTAGATTTATGCAAATTCTATTGCCCAAAAAATACACGTAGGATTCAAAAATTCATCCAATGATGCATAAAAGAAGGAATACAAATTGCAGATGTGTAAAAGCAAATAATCACACAACACGAGCAAATTTTACGTGAAAACCCTTTTGGGAAAATCCATGGGACCAATTCTGACCCCAGCTAATCTAATGCACTAGTTTTAAACTTAGATTAAAAGTTCAAAGTCTTATACCTCAACCAATTCCATGGCTAGAAGTTTCCACCCATGAATCTTCATTCCGAAAATCCAATGCAAGCGTCTTGATAACTAGCTTCAAAGGCAACAAATTGAGAACCACAATCTGTCCTTGAAATCCTCCTTCTCCTTTGGAATCCTCTCATTTGATTCTTGAGTTTCCTCCTTAGATACTTTGTGTCATGGTTTAGATTAGTGTTCAAGATCCTCAACAATAAATGCACAAATTCTTCATCAGAATTTTTGTTGATCTTGAAGGAATCAGGGTTTTGATCTTCATGAGGGTGTGTTCTCTCTTGAAAGGGCAGTCTCCTAAACCCTAGAGGCTTCTAATACTCCCTTGTCTAGTCTCTAAGTCATAAAAGGCGTCTTCTTTATATAGCAATAACAAACAAGACGTATTTGGCCGAGTTTGAAAAACTCTGCGAAGCTGTGCTCGAACCTGTTTAGACAGGTTAGAGAGCGTTGGCTTCTGGAATCCAAAACTGAAGCCAACCTGGGCAGCACAGAGCGCTGATCACTGGAATTGTAATTTAATCCTTTGCTCAATTTCCTAGTATAGAGAGCGTCATTCACTGGTTTACTCAAATACCCAAGGCTCTAAAACAACTCTCTGAATACCAAGGGATGTACCTAGAAAACCTTCATCCAATGACTCATTTCCAAAACCATTAAAAACATGAGTCATGAACGGATTAAATACTCACTCTCTAAATCCAATTTCACTGCTTTAAGTTGAACCAAACTAGGACAACTAGGTATCTAGGTCATCTTACCTCACTTAAGCTTGATAGGATCCAAAAAATCTTTAAATATGTAATAATGTAGCTTGAGCTTCTTCACCATATCTTACTTTGGTCTTCAATCTTCAATAGCCACTTGATCATGGAATTAGTTGAGATACAAGATACTCAGTGACCTCACAGAATTCACCCATTACAATATTTTTCTTAACATATAGCGTTGTCCATTCGGTTGGTGTTGTATTATCAGTTGGTTGGGCAGGATCGGGCTCGACCGATATGTACTGCTACTTTAATAAAATGAAATTCTCTTTTTATGCATCACTATATTCTTTATCCCATAAAACTAGGAGCATGATAAATTTCTTTTGAAAAGATTTTCACCAGCATCTGTGCTTGATGCAATTTCAAGAGTTTCTACAAGGTGTATGAAATGGAGACAAATCCTCCCCCCACAAAGTTTCCATGATTCAATTTTATATATGTGCACCAAAATCAAATATGACTCAGACCAAGAATTTTGTTGCAAATTGATTAAGAGTACAAACTTACGAGGACATACAATCATACAGAATGATGCAGCATGATACTGACTACACATCAACGTCAGCGCGAGCATAGCCAAGTTTTTAAAACCGTGCCAATATTGGTACTCAAGAGAGGAGTCTCAACAACAGGATGAAATACCTGGGAATCACGCATTTTCGATTTTAACTGTTGAATTTCATGATTCACCTCTGCTTTCCTCTGGAAACATCTAATCTGACACTCGTCTTGAGACTGCACAGTAAAAGCATGAGCAACAGTAAAAGCATCTGTTGAATAAAGGGGAAGATTCCTAGAGTTTTTTTCAACTATGTTGTGTTTATTCACTGCCTTCAGATAAGTGATTGTAGTCATGGAACAACTTAAAAATAATGCAGATTGTTTTGTCAGACCTTGTGCAATGGATGAGCTAACAGTTTCTGCTCAAGTTTCTCAATTTGATTGACCAACTCAACAAACTCAGGGTCTTCAATGCCCATGTCCTGCCAAGAAGCTTAAATGTTAAAGAAACAGAAATAACTAGCTTGAAATAATGATTTCAAAAATTATCTCCCACTGAATAGTATAAGGAGCCAGCATATTGCCTCCCCCCCCCCCCAAAAAAAAAAAAAAAAAACCTCTTCCAACTACCACGGGAATGTTGAATAGAATATGAAAAGACTAAAGGTTAGTCAATGGCAAGAAGGAAATGTACTTTTACAAGGAAACCCAAGATGGAGATGTGACAATGGTAGTGACGTATGCGCTTTGGTGCAAAAAGAACTTAGTACTAATCAACAATGGATTATCTTAGTACTAGCAGTGCCCCTACCATTTCATATGAAGATACAAATAAAATATGAGAACATCCAATGGAAATAAAGTGATCTTATTCCGTTTATCATAGCATTCAAATGCAAAAACCTATCAGTAGGCAGACTTATACCATTACGCTCACGAGCAGAATTTTAGTTTGAGTCTACCTTCGCACACATCCGTTACTTATAAAAAATCAGCCCTTTGAATAAGGGAGGCTTTCCTGATAGAAAGATATGCATGCAGCAGAGATCCCAATTCTGTGTATCCGGTTAAGCAAGCATGAATGGACCCACAACTAAGAATGTCCGCCATTAAATCAGAGAATGTGAACAACTGTAAGTGTCATTTAGATAAACCAAATTCAAAACCCTGCCACAACTTTGATAATAGCTTCAATTTTTCCGATGACTCCAATCTCAAATACTAAAATTCACCCCCAAGAGAGTAAAACATACTATTCAATTTGCATGCGGTGACAAAACATGTCCCTAACGGCATGCCCATGACCAAAGAAAATTAATACGGCACCTAATATGGGGAATTGCTTTAGATTACATTCCATGTGAAGTGAGCATCAATAACAAAAATTAGAAATCACTGCAGTGAATCTGAAAGTGATTCAAAATACCTTCACAGGGTTAAGTTTTGGGAGGCCTTGAGGAAAACGTTTTCCAAGCTCCTGTACAGCGAGCAGTATACTTTGCCTTGCTTCCACTGGCCGGAGATCAGAAGGAACAGATATTCTAAGCTTGCTCAGTGCAGAAATTAGGGGCAACTGAACAGGGACCTATAAAATGACATCACATCTCTATCATGTTCCCCATTGTTCAATTCAAAAATATAAGCATGACTCCACATTGAACGCTTTGTGAACAAGCATTATGAAAAACAGACCCTTACGTTCCACCAAAAATGGGGAAAAACTGACCCTTACAAAAATTCTTTCCTAGCAGGAGTGTCAACTCACCACGTGCATTTCGCCCTTTTCGCCAGGGCGGGGTGGACATGGTTTTGGCCGAGAACCATTTTCACTGGAACCCAAAGAACAATGAAGTAAAGTATCCACTATATAGCTACCACCATGTGAAGAAGAGAGAGAAGGGGGCAAAGTGCCAAATGCCGCTGGTGGCTTTTTCACCACATTGACTACCACGCCCCAACCCCAATCTGTTACACCTTCCCGTATCTTAACCTGCAATGTCAGGAAGTAGTTTTGAGTGCAAAAAGAAACAAATAAATACTAAGGCAAAAGACAGCAAAAAAAGAAAGGAAGCAGTTTTCAGGAAAATCCAATCTATAACCAGAAGAAACAACCAACCCAACCCAACACGCCCCCCCACCCCCAAAAAAAAACTAAGAAAAGACCAATGGTAAAACAGAAGTTTGAAGGGTAATTAATGGAGAACTTCAAAACTCTCAAAGCTAATCTGGCAGGTGGACATAAGTACACAAATGAAATATCCATTTTTTGAAAAAGCGAAAAAAAAAATACAATTTATATATCGATAATAACCAAGAATACATTGACCATAAATGTAAGAAAATATATGAAAGCTATAAAATAAAAGCCATAAAGCCAGTCACAAATTGGGACTCTGAAAATGCTACACAATCAAATTTGACAAAGTACCATATAAATTGCAAACAGGGTTCAGAATGCCGTTCAATGTGAACTAGATTCGCTCTTTTCAACACATACCAGCCTACCAGGCAGAAGAAAATAAAGAACTCTTTCAGGCCTTGTTATTTCGGCCATCATTTTCTTCTCAACTTCGGCTATTTCAAGCTTTAGCTTATGATATTCAGCAACCTCAGCCTACAAACAACAATGAGTAATTAAAGATGCAATGCAAATTGGAAGAAATCATTCAGAATGAATGAAGTGAGAAAAACTACCTCCCCCGTGGCATCAAGCATGGCTGCTTCTTCTTCAAGTTTTGAAACCTTATTTCCTATATCAGGTACAGCCTAAAGAGGGGAACAAACCATAGGTTCTTAGGTATTACGTACATACTACCAACACAGATAATAGATAGTTTAGAATAAACCTTCTCATACTGAAATTGGTGAAATGAATTCCTAATAACATGCTCAGCAGTAAATTGCCCTTCAGCGCGGCTCATTAAATTCAGAATTGAGTAGTAGCTCAGCCTGAAAGTGCTGACCAATGGAGCTGGTTTACCCAGAACAATGTCCTTGAGGGTATTCATTTCCATCTAAAAACAGAATAAAGATATATCAATTAATAATTTGAAAATAATGTCCATAATTTATCATATATTTTGCAGCGTCTAGGAAAAGCAGGTTTCATGTGCAGCAAGAAATATATCAAGAAATATTAATTATCTCAAGATTGTGTGCATGGAAGAGCTCCCAACTGGCAAGAAGCTTCTAATGGATCATGCACAATTGTAAAAACAGAAGGTTGAATTCGGATTGAACAATAGGGGTCGAGAAGTACCGACACAATAGAGAGAAAGACCACTAGCTGGAAAGTACCTGCTCATCAATCATTATGATGCATATACCCCGTTCATCTTTGCCACGACGTCCAGCTCTTCCACTCATCTATAAGAAACCAGGCAACAATAAAATAAAAAACTGAAAGCAAAACACAATGCATAAGACATGCTAATGTGACGATATGGTACACACTCACCTGGATGTACTCACCAGATCCGACATGACGATGACTGTCACCATCCCATTTCTTAAAACTAGTAAAAACGACCGTTTTTGCAGGCATGTTTAACCCCATAGCAAACTGCCACATGTCAAAGCCAAGAGTCTTACAGTCTAATACATATAGTATTAATAGACTAGATCAGCTAAATTCCCAACTATTGACATCTGAAGACAATAAATCCTTGTGGGGAGATGATCTTACTGTCTCTGTGGCAAAAAGAGCCTTTACGAGACCTTCTTGAAAGAGGAGTTCTACCAATTCCTTGATAATAGGAAGAAGGCCAGAATGATGAACAGCAATCCCACGCTGGAGTAGTGGCAACATCAATTCAATAGCAGGTAAATTTCTGTCCTCCTCATTCAGGCAGAGGATTGCATTTCGAAAAACCTGCTCCACAACATCCTTTTCCTCCCGGGTATTAAAATCAAGTTTAGACATTGACATTGCATGCTGTTCGCACTCTCTTCTACTAAAGCTGAAAATTATAACCGGTTGAAATTTCCGCTCCATAACCATCTGAAATATGAGGAAGTTTTCAAATTGAGTGCTAAGAAACATTTCATAAAATAATGCCATTAGATAAAATGCAAAAGAAGATCAAATAATAGCGGTGAACAACAAATTAATAAAACTAACGAATAGGAACAACTACACGTAAGCAAGAAATAAATTAAAATACATCCCACAACAAAAAATGATAAAAGAAAACATAAAGAGCAGCAATGTCTAATGCTGGATTGCACACCTTGACAATTTTGTATATGTCAGAACCACCAGAAGCATTGCCACCTTTTCCAATTCTTCCACTCCCTTTGGCATTCCCACTCTTGTTCCCATCACCCAGCTTCTGCCTCGTGAAAGTATCCTGCAGTTTCATAAAATTTTCCTCCCTAAACTGCTCATTCTCATCAACAACAAGATACAACCCTGACCCTCCCATAGGGAACACATAATGCTGCAGAGGCGTTGGTCGAAAATCAGTATAAACCACATGACACGGCTGTTTATGTATGTTACATATCCATTCCGCAAACTCAGTAGCGTTTGACATTGTTGCTGAAAGAAAAACCATTTTGATAGCCGGTGGCAAGAAAATAATACTCTCTTCCCAAACAACCCCTCTTTCACGATCCTTCATGTAATGTATTTCATCAAATATAACCCAGGCAACTTCTTTTAATACCTCGGAACCCCTATAAAGCATTCCTCGAAGAATCTCTGTCGTCATAACCAAACAACTTGCATTTGGCGAGAGTGTTACATCACCTGTCATTAACCCTACATCTGAGAATTCCTGGCTTAACTCTCTATACTTTTGATTACTCAAAGCTTTCAGAGGTGAAGTATATATAACCCTTTGCTTATCCCTAAATGCCATCGCAATTGCGTACTCAGCGACTGCAGTTTTACCTGCAGAGGTATGTGCAGAAACCAAAACCGATTCATTTCGTTCAAGACATGCTATTGAAACTTCCTGGAATGGATCAAGGTTAAACTGGTAGGTTTTTGCCATTTCTGCATTATAAACAGGATTCAAGAGTGTCCCATGGATCGACTCATCTTTGCTCGAACTATGCCCACTAGGAACAGCCACCTCGTGCACACATGTTCTTCCTAAATTACGCTTTTTTGAGGCATTGTCTTCCTTGGGAGGTTCTGTGACCTTTGAAGTTTCTTCATGCTGTTTTCGTTTACCAAGGGTTGGAGACTCCTCCATTTATTAGTTTTATCTTTATTCCAAACTTCACTTCAATTGAGGGTTTAATCCTTATATCTACCAATTGATGAAAAGAAACCCTTTTTAATCTGCAAGAAAACAAAATTAATTATAGTATTCAATTTTATAAACCCCTACAATCGGCTCTAGGGTTTTTGGTTAAAACCCTCGATTATCTGCTTCATTTCAACCTTTTTTTGGTGTAAGAAAATAGAAAACTTCAACAAAATTTAACTGTATACCTATTGTATATGCCAAAACACTCCAAATCAGCTGAAAAACATATAAAATTCTATAACATTAATTCTATAAACCGTAGCAATCAGCTCCATTATGAGATATGCCGTAAAATGTATACCAAATAGCATGTCATTGCTATACAAAACAAAAACTCCAAACTCGTTGTTTCAATAAGACCCTTATTTCAGACTGTCTGTTCGAAAAACCGTAATTGTAAGCCGTAAAAAAATAAAAAAATGCAAGTGTTCATATAAGCCTAATTCAAATGGCGTTTCTAAATCCATAATTTTCAGCTACAGAAGAAACAAAAAAAATGCATGCTATGTGTTCCTAAAACCCTAATTTTAAAATTAGGGTTAAATATGCTGGTACATATATACATACAGAAACACATATACGGCTTACCTTACTGGCGAAGAAGAGAACGGCTTCGCTCCCCCCACTGGTACCGGGAAAATCCTAAATTATCCAAATTTGGGGCGTTTTAGTCTATGTGTGCCCTAAACGCGTAAAAAGGTTTCAATGGGCTTTCCTGTTAATTATAGAGTGAGAAAGCCTGGGTCCAAGGTTGGTTTTGGCTCCCTGGGGACAATTTTTTTTTTTATTACTTATCCCTTTATTATAATATTTGTTGAAAAAATTAATTTGTGTTCCTCACAAAATAATTTTTGTGATAATATTTTATTGAGTGTGTGTATCACACGTCATTTAATGTATTAAACACATTCAAAAAAATTTACTTCAAAGTATAAATAAATATATGCTCCCATAAAAAAATAACAACCATTTTTATTGAAGAATTTGATAAATAACCATATATAAACACTTGATAATATACGAATGCATTCACTTATTAGTTAGATGAAACCGTCAAGAGTTTTTCTTTCGAGGCCAATTGAAAAATATTATTTATACCGTATTTTTGAAATTTTATAATGTCATATTTTTTACTTTCATTGGTCGTCTCTATCTATTCCGTTTACGAAATGAGCTTATATAAGATAAAGTTGACCCTTTTGAATGTCTCTAACAACAAAAATCAAAATAATTTTTATTCTAATATTAATTTGAAAATAATTTCATTTTAATCCTTTGGTTGTTATGTCACCAAATATAATTGGAAAATATTTGACAATTAATAATTTAATTTAACGAGACACGATTCAATTGACCAATCACTAGAGGACACCTAACCTAAGCCAAGATAGGGCTTAACAGTGTTATCAAAAAAAATTTTGGTTTTATGCCTCATTTTTAAAGAAGGTCTCCAAATTTTTAATTATCATAAATAATCCATGTAAAAAAATTAAATTTTTAAATATTTTAAGCCCTACAAAAAGGCCTTAAAAAAATACAAGTCCAATAAAAAAAAAATTTAAGGCCTCATTTCATGGAAGACCCATAATTTATAGGTGTATAGTAATAATTCAAACAAAAAATTTAAATTCATGCCTAAACAAAATATTTCAACTTAAACAGATTGAGTCTATTAATTCAGCCGTAAAATTAAAAGATCCTAAAATTTATTTTTTAAAATAAAGAAAAAAAAAACTAACGGTAAAACTAAAGGTATTAAAAAAAATTAATTTTAACTCCCAAAAAAGTCAAGTTTAAACTTATCATCATAATTTTTTAATTATTTTTTTTCTCTCTTACTATTAAGTTCAAATATAATAACAAAAACTTGAATATAAAAATTTAATTAATATTTTTATATTTAAAAAAATTATATTTATTATTAATATTAAAAATAAAAATACATCATTTATCATTTCTACTTTAAGCCCCAAAGTGTCTCGGGCCACCCTGCTTACTTGTTCAAGTCTTAAGAACGCGAACGGGGTGGAAATGTCCTCGGGCCGAAGATGTCACCGATTTTCCTAACATTATTTTGATCTATTTATAACTAACATGACAAGGACAGAGAATATCGGCTACACCGCTGTCTTCACGTGGAGTAAATATTGAACGCAATGGGAATACTATGCCATCATCTACCAATAATAAAATGTTAAATGAAAAAAGTGAATCCTATTTAGACTTACATGATAAAAGGGTAGTAAAGTTATTTGTTTACATGATAGGTTAATTATTAATTTTTTGTGTTTTATGTGCTTATTTGTTTTAATACTATTAGTTGATGATAATGCATCACCTTATCACGTGGTATCATCGTTATAATGAATATTTTTTTCCTTCACATGGAATCAAGGGTGTCTATCAACCAAGCTGGCCCGTAAAATTTTTTCAGGTTGAATTGGGTAGTGTAGACTTAAGTCTTTACCTGAACAAATTATCAGATAGACCAAGTCGTACTTTAGTAAGTGTAGACTCTCCGTAACCCAACTTGTCACTCACTAAACAGATTTATTGGACGAGAATTATATATATATATATATATATATATATAGTTTTATTTAAAAAAATTTTAACTTAATATTTTTATAAATTAAAATTTTAAATTAAAAGTAGAATCAAAATAGACAAAATATAAATAATTAAAAATTTTATTTATGAATAAGAGAGGAACCTAACTTTTTTTTAGCATTGAGTATTGAATGCACCTAATTTTTTTAGAAGCATATATTATTACCAAACTTGCAAAGTTTTAATGTTCAATTTTTTTTCAAATCAGATGGATGAAAGGGCAATCGAGTTGAGAGAGTTGGGTTGGACGGGCAGGTTCTTTGGCCAACTCAACCCATAGACACTCTGAAAACCCAACACGTACGTATCCACACGGATGATGGTTGGAAAGACATGATTCTTACATACCTGGACAATCAAGTGATATCTCGAGTTGCCGAGCAGGGTCATCATTCGATCATTGACCCCAGTTGCACTTTATGCTATATATCCTTAGACCTATTAAAATGCATGACTTGAAAATAACCTTACAACAAGATGAAAAAATTTTCTGACTTAGTAATGTTTTGTTGATCAAATTTAGGATTAAATTTGGAGCCTAAATGACTTGGTTGTATATTATTTGGAGCCTAAATGACATGACATCAAATAAAAAAATTCAAGTCAATTGTCATGTCATTTGAACTTTAAATTTAATTCTAAAATTTGGTCAGTGTAATATTATTGTTTCTTATTAAACAATCACTGGCATGATTTTTCCGTTACACACGTGGACCAATAAGAGAATTCACTCCCAAAAGGTTGTCGAGCATGTCTGTTTGTATATCATTTTGTGATATCAGCATCAGCACTCTTTCGAGGTATAATCAATAATTAAGTTTGGAGTAATGATATGTATCTCAAATTTGTAACTTAAATTTTCATCCCAAATCATGGAAAATCATTGGATCAGTAGGTCCTATTTTTAAAAGTTGATGAGACATACTGATCTAATGATCCTCTTTGATTTGTGATACAAATTTAGAATATATAGTATTACTCATAAGTTTGTATGCATAATTTATTTCTAATGTTGAGCATCAGAGGGAATACGTCGAAAAGTCCTCCTCCGTGCCCAGTTGCCCTTTATTTGCTCGTAAGTTTGGTATAGTATTTCCTTTGGTGTGATAATTTTATCCGTACATCATATAAGAGTAAATATTTTGCTGAAATTTTCATACATTAGAAATAAAAAGATAAAAAAAAAAGTATTTGAGATAATTTATATAGGAGATATGGGTCTAACACTCTCCAGATATAGCCGTTGACAAGGCCATCAAAACAATAGAATGGGAATTAGTGTCACAACTATAAGCTTAGACTGGGAATTGTTTTTAAAAAAAACATTAGTCTAAGAAAAAAATTTCCTCAGTAAGCTGCAGTTTTTATAGTGATAACATGGATGGATGAGTTGTACACTCAAATGTTTTGAATTTGAATTTTGACAATTTCTTTGGACTAGATCATAAGACATTTATCTCTCAAGAATTTACTAATCCTGACGTGAATGCTTGCTTTAGATTGGACCGGAGATCAAATTAGTCGAGATATATATAAATTAATTCGGACATCTTTGACCGGAGGAAACCAAACTCACGAAAAAGTCATTTCATGTTTCCAACAGACTATATGCGGAATTAGTGGCAACTTATGATACAACCTACTTTTTTACATTTTTTTGTTGCCTGAAAAAGTGGTCACAGGACACAAATGGTCTTATTTAGCCTTTAAATACACTTTGGTTAGTTTCACAACTGCATCACCCCCATCTAAGTCTGTGTGTACGTGTGTGTGTAAAATGAGGGTAAACATTAAGCATTCTTGCATGGTAAAGCCGGCTGAGCCCACATGGAATGGAGTTCTCTCCTTATCAGAATGGGATCAAATTGGTATAATTACTCATGTACCAACCATCTACTTCTACAGACCTTCACAGGATTGGTATACATCTGGTGGTACCATGATCAAAGTTCTCAGAGACTCATTGAGCCAGACATTGGTGCATTTTTATCCATTAGCTGGTCGTTTGCACTGGATTGATGGGGGACGATTGGAGCTCGCGTGCAACGCAATGGGTGTACAGCTCATCGAGGCTGTGTCCGAAGCCAAATTAGATGACCTTGGGGATTTTTCTCCATCTCCTGAGTTCGACTACCTTATCCCTTCCATAGACTACACAACCCCAATCCAAGAACAGCCACTGGTCCTGGTGCAGCTCACTGAGTTCTCATGTGGTGGCATTAGTCTCAGCTTGACAATTTCACATGGAATTGCTGATGGGCAAAGTGCACTTCACTTCATCTCCGAATGGGCAAGGCTTGCTCGTGGGGAGCCATTGAGCTCCCCACCCTTTCTCGATCGAAAGGCATTGCAAGCTGGACATCCTCTTAGGGAAGCCCCATGTTTT